CCACTTGACTTCTTTCTATAACAGTTCTCTTAGTCCTTTCATTGAGCCCTCTAAAATGATCTCAAAAGCCTATAAAAATAAGAGACAGCAGCACTCAGATTCAAGTAAAGTGTCTCATCTAAAACCTTCCTAAAATAGTATTGACAATGAGAAATCCTTTTTGTGAAAGAGCTTGAGCGCTATGCTTTAAACCTCAGTTTAAAAACTGAACCAAATGCTTTAGGAAAGTGCCAACCTCAGGGTTTCAAACAGAGACCTTTGTTCTCATTCCTTGCACCGTAACCAAGGATGTGGTATAACCACTGGCCTTGTTATACAGTATGAGAGGAACCGGTACAGCCGGCTTTGTCTAATGTCGTGAACAGCAGAATGTTTTTTAACAGGGTTAAATTATCCAATTAGTGTTTAATAGCATATAACCACAAGAGAAAGCAGTTAACCAAGATGGGACGGGAGCATTTCAAGTGACATTTTTAGGGACCTGCTGAATTGACGAGTCTAAGAAAGATGAGCGCATACAGGTTAGCAAGGGACTGCTGGTGTTTGAAGGGAGGATTGTGGAAAGGAACACAAGGTGCATGCTTTCGAGTGGGAGCATTAAGGAGGAGGCATAAACATGTGTAAGGACCCTGGACATACCTGGAGGGGCCAAGGAGGTGGCCTTCCCTACTCAAGCAGGATGTCAAATACTTAGAGTTCCCTCCTGGACCCCGATGTGCTAATGCAAGCAGGCCCTCGGAGCTTGCCTCAGCTAGAGGCCGGGACACTGAGACCTGGGGAGACAAAGAGGGATCCTCATAAGAATGTAGACAAGAGGTACCTTTTGGCCTTCACAGCTCAGGCCTCTTGTTTTCATTGAGCTTGTCATATTTGGCTAATAATCTGAATCCTTTGGCTATTAGTCACCACAGAACATACAATAAAGAAAAAAATAATAAAAACTTCTGGTATTGGGGAAATTCCCATGAAGGTGTGAAGGTTTATGGGGGAGGGGGGATGTACTTCTGCTGTGAAACGCTGAGCTGCACATGGAAATTTTTAGGCAATGTTTACTGTGCAGCCTTTTTCTTGGTATATGTGCATCATGTCTGCGTCACATTTCAGGCCTTTTTCAGAAGCCTTCTTCCAGCCTCACATTTCAAGAGACAGTAGTGAAACTTTGAAATCATTCATTTAAAAAATATCCCTTAAGTAATGGAGTCACAATTTAGTATTTTAGGCTCTCCTGTGACAATGTTAATTCCATGAAAGATATACTTGCTATTTCTAAGAAAGAGGCCTGGATAAAATGATACCTAATATCTTTAAATTTGAGAAAATCCAGACCGTGCCTCAAATCCCAGATGTACTGCCACCATGTGCTACTTCAAGTGTGCCCTGCATCACAGTCTGCCCATGCTTGTGGGTGTTTTTCCTCTTAGATATTCATCTGCAACTCCGCAGAGCAGAGCCCATGTACTTCTGAAGCAGTACAGCCTCAGGGATTAAGAGACGGCCTTGGCACAAGACAGACCTGGGCTCAAATCCCAGCTTCACCACTCACTAGCTCTGTGACTTGTGCTGAGTTCTGTTGTACCTATAAGTCTCAATTTCATCACCTGAAAAATGAAGAAAACATCACCTACCTCATAGGATTGTTGTTACAATAACTGAGATAATGTATGTCAAGTGTTTAGCATCATCTGGTAAATAGAAGCTCTAAACAAATAGCCATGTTCGGTCATTTCAAATTAATTTTAATAGTAATATTTTTCAACAGTTAAAAAAAAATATGTTGCTCCTTGGAGTGATACTTGGCACCTGCCAGTATTTTCAGCCTCATTAGTGTAAGCCCTGAGTTTTTTCTGTCATCCTTATTTTAATGCCTAAACTGTGTGCCAGGGCCATAAGGCTGATCCAGAGAGAACTAGCCTCCAAGTAGATCACAGGCCAGAGAGGGAGAAAGATGTTTAGAAAACTGCACTAAACTTGAGGAGAGAAAACTTGCTCTGCCTAGGAAATTGGGCACGTCTTCTCCAAAGATATAAGGTTTGAACTGAATATGAAGGCTGGAGAGGCACTGTCCAGGCAGAGGAAAGGAGCAAAACCATTCTAGTCAGAGGGAATATTTGCAGAAGAGAAACACAATCACATTGTTCTTTCAAAAGTTTAATTCAGGAGTCTTCTCCCGATAGTTCAAAGCCTAACTCCCCTCTTAGGATCTCAGATCTTAAAAAGCTACCACACTGTATTTTGCTGGAGGATGGCAGGGCTAGATAAGGTAACTACATTTTTCTGAATAGGTCTTAGTTCAGGCATTTTACATATGTCAGCTGTATGTCAGAGAAAGTCAGGGAAAAGTTAGAGGAGAAAGTGCCCTGAAATCACAGCACAGAGGCAGAGTTGGGATTTAGACTTAGCTCTCTCTGCCTTGAAGCTCAGGTGCCTTTCTTTCTGCCTCAAAGTGTCAAACACGAATGCCCCAGTGACTAGACAGGTACGATAAATGTATGTAGCAGCCTTGGGTAGGCAGAAGAGCATCCCCACCTCAAACTCAGAGATTGTATAGATTCAAAACATTTGGGGACCAAAGGAAGCTAGGTATGAGAGAATGTAGTCTGCAAGTCTAATCATATCTTGGGAACTTTTTTTTTCATTAGCACTTTAATTGATTATTACCATTATATTTTTGCTCCAGTGTCTTACACTTAGCAATCATCCACCTTCATGCTCAACTTGTGAGGGATCTGCTAGAAGTCACATCTGGTTTGATTTCCGATGACATTATCAACATGAGAAATGACCTCTACCAGGTAAGCAGAAATATCAAGGAGACAACTGAAGAAAAATCTATCATTTGTACGTGCATTTGTGTGTGTGTGCGTGTTTTACTTCTAATAATGTTAGCGGTAGCAAAAAAAAAAATACAACAAAACATCTTTGCAGGTAATATCCTAAAAGCCCATTATTTGGGAATGTTCTTTTATGAATTGGGATGCTTTGATCTGTGAGTATAATAGCAATCACCCCGCAGTGAAATTCATCATCCTGTTGGGGAAAGGCAAGCTTTAAATTTTGGAAATTCTCCAAAGAGTCCATCCATTTAGAGGGAGAACCTAGCATAAATGCATCACATCTGTGAAGAAAAATAAAATAGAAAAAGATTAGGTTCAAAAAGCCAGTAATTTATAAGGGTTTCGAAGTCTGCCGAAACACATGTTGACAACACATAAATTAAATATATATCAAAAAAGAGGGTGCTGAAATCAGAATACAAAAAGATATAAAGGCTCCTGAGAAAAAAGTACCCTTCAAAACAGAAAGACAGCTCAGAGTGAAGAAAACAGGAAACACCAAAGAGTTTTGCCCAGATCAGTTTTAAACAGAAATTAGATGAGCTCAAAAGCAACTTGAGGAACTCCATCACAGATACTTCAAATTTGCAGAGGGAGAAGTTAGGTGGACATTCATGAAGCTTCTTGATGGGCACATGCAGATGGCAGGTGAAGAAAGGAGATTGAAACTGCTGGGGCAGAACCAAAGCCCAGATGCTGGGTTTGGGATCCTGGGAGACCTGGGCCAGCCCCTCTGGCCGAGGGACCGATGGGGCAGCACTAGCATCAGGTAAGGAGGGTTCTACTCTCCAGAGCTGCTCCTGCCTCCCTCCCCTGGGCACTATCCCTTTCCTGCTGCCTTTCCTGGCCCCACCCGTCTTCTGTAGCAGTATCCTGGTCTTGTTCCCTTCTCAGCTTTCTCATTTTCTCCATCCCTTCACTCAGCCCAAAGTGGCTTCCCAGTCCTCCTTGGCCTAGATGGTATGCTTGGATGCCTGATTAAAGCATCCGTCTCTAAAAATATGGACAACAATCATGTACGATTATTTACACAGTAAAGGTACCTATTCCAGTTCTCAATATTTAAAGCAGGTGATGTGAATCATTTTTATTTCTGCAGAACAAAAGTACTAAATCTGTTACATGTAGCTGTCAATAGATTTTTATCCGTGAACAGATGTTCCCTGATAAGGGGAAGTAATTTCTCATTGGACGTAAGGCTTCTCTGGCTGTCAAAAGAAAAATGAAGGTAGGGATTCCTCACTGACTCATAGTATAAAACAAATAGGATGAGGTCTAATGTTGGTACCTGGAAAGTCATTTGGCCCGTAAAGCTTGACACTCTCTGGCTTTTGACCTGACCATTCCTTTTCACCATCACAAGTATACAAATCAGACTAGGAATGGAACGTTGTCACTTTTCGGTTCTCCTTTCAAAGACTTGTTAATTTCACTGCCTATAGATCAGATTCAAGGAATTACTTGTATTTCTGTTTATAAATAGGACCTGCAGAGGACACAGCACAACAGGATTAGTAGTTGTGATTTATTATGTGCTGAGCTCCTTACTGTATCATTTGGTTACGTATATTGAAACTCTCTAGTTTGCTAGAGAGAAAAACCCGGAAACCACCACCTTTGACATGTCTGCATCTTCTGATTTGGGGAATGCAGCACTTTTTCCCTCCCTTTCCACTGCTCTCATTAGGGCACAAGGATTCTACATCTTCTACTATGCTTTCTAGGTCTCAAACGTACATCCAATGGCAGCTTTGATTTGAGAGCTAGAAGCCGCTAAGACTTGGACTCTTGTTTATCTGCAGTAAATGTTCTCCGTTAACTATTCTTGATGGGAAATTGTACAGTTCTCTAAGTAATTTGAACTATTTGGCAATTGTCTTAAACATTCTCCCCAAAATACCTTTCTCTAATCTTAGTACATTTTTGTGACCATCTGTCGCAATCAAATCTCTCCCCGCCCATCCTCTAGAGACACATTCAAAATAATCCAAGTCCATAGAGTTAGGGTTTTTCTGAAAATATTTCTGAAATTTATTCCCTTTAAACCAAACCCCATTTTCCTCTCTCGTTTCTTTCCCCCGTAAGGTAGACAACCCCTCCAGTGCATTTGATATGCGATGTTTTATTTGCATATGTTCCTATAAAACATTAGTGGGAGATTTTTGCGCATGTATTTTTTTATCATACTTTTAATTACTGTAAGTATATATTCATAGTTTTAAAAATGGTACATAAGAACGTACATTCCTTGAAGAATCCAAGTTGCCACCCCGGCAGCATGCAAGTCTCCCAGCCCCACTTCCAAATATAACTATTGTATTTGTAAGTAATTTCCCATGTATTGGCTACAAAAACATAAAAACTTTAAATAAATAGGTATTTTATTATATTTTCACACAAATCTACATTATATTATACAAACCTTTTTCTTTAATTTAACCTTTAATTTAATTTAACCTGCATTAACCTTTTTCTTTAATTTTTAATTTGATGTAATTATAGATTCGTAGGTGGCTGCAAAAAAATGTACTGGGAGGCCCCATGTACTCTTCACCCACTTTCCCCCAGTGGTAACATCTTTCGTAACTATAATTCAGTATCAAAACCAGGAAATCGACAACGATACAATCCACAGATCTTACTGGAGTTTCATCTGTGTGTGTCTGTATAGTTCTTCGTGCATGCATTTTTAAAATGCGTAAATGGCTTTATGCTACATGTCGCTATATATCTGCCCTTTCTATTTATGGGATTTACCCGTGTACCTGTGTGTACAGCTAGTTCGTTGTTTCTATTCCTGAAGAGAATCCCTCACTGTACATCTTCCACCTGCAATGTACCTGTTTGCCAGCAATGGACACTTAGCCAGCTTCTTGCTTCCCATATCCGTAGACAATACTGTGATGAATATCCTCACCCAATATATTTGCGTCACTCCAATATATATGCAGGAGGTAGGCTGCTGGAACATTTGTCTGCTTGGCTCTGCACAATGTCTGCATACATCCACAGAAAACTTTTAATGGGACCACGAGAGAAACTTTAAAAAGGCAAAAACAAAACAAAACAAAAACAAAAACACTCTATTACTCATGGTAGAGAATTTGTATGATATGAATGGTGTAAGATCTTATAATTTCAGATCTTTTCTCATTCTCCTTTCCCATCTCCACAAGTAGCATTTCAGATTAATAAACACAACTTTTATTTACTTAATAGTTTATTTTTCAAGAGGAAGATTCTTGGCTACAATATCTAAAGTTTTGAGGACATCATTCTATTTCAAACTGGGTTATAGTTCTAAAAGATTAATAATAATAATAATTATTATTATTATTCTGGTTATTAGGATGCCCCTAATACGGATATAAGTAACCCAGAAGATTTCTCCTTCAAAAAGGAGTATGAGAATATAGTAATTGGGAGAGTGGAAATTTGGCACACAAAAAAAAAATCCTGTCTTGTTTCTGCTATATTCAGTAATCTTTGTAATTGAGACTTAGATGACTGAACATCTTTCATCCAGTTCTCATGTACTCTGATAGCCTTACACCAGCCAGGATGTCAAGGCTGTCGCTGCTATAGTAACTGCTTACCAAGAGGGAAAGTTTAGGCAAATTGTCACTAGACAGGCTGGATTTCACAGGCTCCTGTGAAATAGACTGATTTGTAAAAAAAAAATATATTGCTATTCTGTCAGTGACCTCGATTCTTTGAAAGATATTTTCATGTTTGTGTTCGTCTTACTCATTTTGAAAACACGCAGTTTTCAAAACATCTCGTTTTCATTCACTGAGGTACTACTTCATGAGCAGGGGAATCAAATGGATTATTTCCTTACCTGTTAGGTGTCAGCAAGTCAGTTTGTTCATCTGAACTCTCTTAGTGAAACGGTTCTGTTGTCCTAGTTGTGACATTTAGAATCCTTTGACAGCTTTTATAAAATGGGTGAGGGAAAGTTCTATTGATCGGTCCCATGGAGTCAGTCCATGGAACAATATTTTTTAAGTTAACAAATTTATTTCCCATGTCACCGTAGAATTACAGCACGTTTGCTAATGGAGTTCTGTTGAGTGGTTCATTTAAACTTCTCCAGTGAAACCATAGCCTTGATTTGATTTAACATAAGGAATTATCAGCCGAAGATAGAGTCCTACTAGAATGGTGAGAAACAAGAAAGCTATTAAGAATTGTATATAGAAAAATCTTAATAATTGAATGGCTGAATGTTAGACCAGTATATATACTTCATTAGCATATGATATGGAACAATGAATAATTCATTTGCAAAGGTGAGAAGTTAACCTGGGAAGGGAAAATGGCCCACAATACGATTCTACCTACCATAGTGGCAGCTGCCACGCACCCGTGGGTTACAAGTGTTGGCCACTGACCAGTGTATCCCTGCCCCTTTTCCACTTCCCAGACGCCGTTGCACTTAGCAGTGATCACCAAACAGGAAGCTGTGGTGGAAGACTTACTGAGGGCCGGGGCTGACCTGAGCCTTCTGGACCGCTTGGGTAACTCTGTTCTGCACCTAGCTGCCAAAGAAGGACATGATAAAATTCTCGGTATTTTACTCAAGCATAAAAGGACAGCACTACTTATCGACCATCCCAATGGGGAAGGTAAGAGACAGTCACACATCATGGTATAACCTTCTCTATCTACTTTCTAACAATTAGTAGGTATTTGATAAATGTATGTTATTCGATTTGCACCCAAAGTGCTTTCGTTAGTCACCTGCAGTTCCTCTGGAATTTCTTTTGCTCACCATTGCTGATTCCTTTAAAGATGACCTGGAGTAGTTAACCAATAGGAAGAAAAAACAGAGGTCTGACCAAACACTGAGCTTGAAGTGTAGAAAGCAGCATTTATTCGGAGGGTGTTTATTTGCTCTCATGTCTCCTGAGAACATAAAAGGAGACAGCGGTTTTACATGCAGAACTGACTTACAGCACCAGTAAAGACTGTCTGGTGTAGAAACGCTGTCAGCACTAGACATACCCAAACCCATTGGCGTTCCCTTTCTGTGGTCCAGTTTTGTCATCTCCTTCAGCTTCACTGAGGGCCATCTTGTGAGCAGCCCTCCCACACTGTGACTGTCCCTGTGCTTGGGCTGCAGGTCTGAACGCCATTCACATAGCCGTGATGAGCAACAGCATGCAGTGTCTGCTGCTGCTGGTGGCCGCAGGGGCAGACGTCAACGCCCAGGAGCGGAAGGCAGGGCACACGGCGCTGCACCTGGCTGTGGAGCGCGACAACATCTCCTTGGCCGGCTGCCTGCTTTTGGAGGTGAAGGAAGCACCTGTCGACATTTACATTAAATTCCAAGGGGAATTTAGGGAAATCTTTTCTAAGAACAGAGCTGGTAACAGCCTTGCTCCCTACATTCAGCTCTATATATTTAATATCTGTACAAGGTTTCAGAGCAGCCGCTTCAGGCATTCCCATCATCCCTTGTCTGGCATCTCTTAACTGGGGATTGCTTCAATGGTAGAGCCTGCCCAAAATAGCAACTGGGTTAGTAACATGACCCATGGAGTCATGAAGACGGGGGGACGTGAGGACAAAAAGAGAACCTTCAACTAACTCTTTTCTGTGTGGGCCGGATTGTAGGGTGATGCCCATGTAGACAGTACCACCTATGATGGAACTACACCCCTTCACATAGCGGCCGGAAGAGGGTCCACCAGGCTGGCAGCTCTTCTCAAAGCAGCAGGTAAGGCAGCCAGGCGGTCAGCGGTGGAAAATGTTATCGGGTGTGCAAACCCAACTTCAATAGAGCAACCTGTTGCCTTCATTGAGCCACAGATCTGCTGCCGAAAGGCATGAGTAAATAAAAGTTCTATGGCAAATCACACCTTCACTACCATCAAGGCACTGTTTGGACTAGTAATCCTGGGCTTTATCCTGAGAGTCGTGTTAGTTTTTACTCTCTAATTCACCTGTGTGTTTTGGGTTTCGGTTGTTCAGGTTGATTCTCTTGATAAGAGATCTTAAAGTTGAATTTAATTCCTTATAGAATTCTAAGCAGTACTGTCCGCAAAAGGAAAATGTGTTGGTGTAAGAAATCATGTAAAGACTTATTGTGCATGAAAGATCTCTTAGAAATTGAATAGGAAAAAACAAATAGGGAGTGTATCGAGTACTGTCACTAAAAATTGCTAGCATTTATTCTCTCTGTACCAGGCATTGTGCTAGGCACTTCACGTGCCCTGTCTCATTTAATCTCATTTAATCCACAGTAACCCTGTGATATAAATACCATTATTATTATTCTCATCTTATAGCCGAAGAACAGACTAGAGAGACTTCTACATCCCAGTGCCAGAGTCCCAATAAATGGCAGAGCTATGGATCACACCTTGTCAGTCTGAACTTACAAACTCGATTTTCCCTACTTCAGCGGTCCCCAAACTTTTTGGCAGCAGGGACCAGTGCTCCTATGAGAATCTAATGCCTGATGATCTGAGGTGGAGCTGAGGCGGTGCTGCTAGCGCTGGAGAGCGGCTATAAATACAGATGAAGCTGCACTTGCTCACCTGCCACTCACCACCTGTTGTGTGGCCCTGTTCCTAACAGGCCCTGGACTGGTATTGGTCTGAGGCCCAGGGGTTGGGGACCCCCGCTTTACTGTGTTTCTCTCCCTTAATTCAAGTAAAGATTTGCAGGTGTTATTCCATTTAATCCTCTAGTCCTATGAAGTATAGAAAAATTACTCCTCATCCTTGAATCTCTATTGCCTTGTATATTTCGAACCTCAGAAACTGACAAAATTGGTCTCTCAAACCTACCCTGACATATCAGATTTACTTTAGAGGTTATTAAATTTTTTTAGAAAGTAAATGCTTCATAAATTCAAGAAAACAGAGCAAGTTAAATACCTTCTTAAAAATTTGAGTCCTGAAAGATGTAAGAACTTTTTCTTCGGGCACCACATTTTTCTAATTAGTAAAATCCCATCCCAAATAAACAGCAGCCTTTTCTTTTCTCCTTTGTCAAGCTGAATATTCTCTTGAATAAGAGACTCTGATTGTATTGTGTATGAATAGTTTTGGAAGTCAGTGGTTATCATTAAGGTACACCTTGAGACAAGAAGCTATAACGTTTTCAAAAATGCTTTCTCTTGAATACTTGGTATTCCATGAAAGGAGTAGCAAGTAGCCGTTTCTCCAGCAGATAAATGAAGAATTCAGGTGAAAAATCTAGTCCTGAGCTCGAAGTCATAAAGAAGGTCACTTAAGGAATGGACAGCTCAGTTCCTCCAGTCTTTGGTCCTATAAATTGTCTAGGTTTCTCCACTGTTTTCGTGGTCAGGTAACACTATTGCCTCATAGATCAGGCTAGCACTGGGAGAATGAAATAAGAAATAGCATGAAGATCCCTCTTTGATTCTCATTAGGCACTCTCTATTATAGAAGTTGGCGCAAGCCAGAAGTTCTCCCAGCAAGATGAAAACAAGTCCCTCTTCCCAAAAGAGTGTGCTGAACTTACTGCTGTTCACTAGGCGTCAAGTTAAACACTCTCTCATAAAAATAGTCTCCACATCTCTAAGAAGCAGCTCTAGCTCTGATCTTTAATCCTTGAGTTACTTTTGGTGTTTCTTGCTGCAGGCTAAGAAACAGACTAGATTTTCCAAGATCGGTCCTAAATTCTTCAGTAACTAAATGTTTTAACAGAAGGTGGTTTTTGTTTGCTTGTTTGTTTGTTTGTTTGTTTTGGTGTTTTTTGTTTAAGAATCAGGACCCTGGTAATGCTGTCCTCAGGAATAAAATTTAACATGTTGTCATTAAGGAGCAAGCACCTTTGCTCTTTTGAGGAAACAGGAGAAAAAAATTGAGAAATATGCATGAATCTGACTTTCATCCTGAGCACCCCAATGCCTACAGACTGCTGTCATTAGTCTTCAGATTAAAGATGCATCATTCAATTTAAAACTATCTTATATAGTTAAATGTGAGAGAGTATTCCAAGTCTTTTGTTTAGAAAATGTCCTTGGCCAAATAGGGTATCTTCAAACACAATCAAAATAAATTGTAATTTAAAAGGCCTCTGGATACTTCAGTAGGAATATGTTTTATATATTTATAAGTAAACATGTTTTATATATTTATATAATCTGACCCCTGCAGACAGCTGGACGTTGAGAAAATCTGGGTGTACCTAATGCTGTGTGACTTGACTTTGCAGGAGCAGATCCCCTGGTAGAGAACTTTGAGCCTCTCTATGACCTGGACGACTCTTGGGAAAAAGATGGAGAGGATGAAGGAGTCATTCCTGGAACCACACCTCTAGATATGGCCACCAACTGGCAGGTGAGTGTGGCTCCAGTGTGTTTGATAGCTGCTCCTGGGGGAGCTAAAGGTTCAAGGATGTCAGAACAAATGGCCTTCCTGGGTATTTATTCCCCAAAGCACATGCCTTTTATCTTTTAAGAAAGTCTGTTTGTCAAGAGCTGTATTTATCTTGAAAAGCCTATCCATGAAAGATCTAGGTCAGCAGAGTTCTGAGTGTAAAAGTGTATACCTAATCAGATCAGAGTTTAGTTGTGGGAGAGGGATAGACCAGAGAAAACACGAAACGTCAAGAGTTATTCATTCTGAACTCACACCAGAATTGTCCCCGTCTCAGTTTTTGAAACGAGGAAGAATTTCACGTTTGCTTGAACTTTGCTAAGTGGTTTCTGAACAGAAAAAGAAACAAGATTCTTCTGAGGATTTCAATAATACAGAGTAAACAGACTTAAAGCTTTCCTCAAAACTCCACTGACCTGAGATCTGAAAGTAAAAGGCAGTTACTGAGTCTTTTTAGCCCAGGATGAGAGCCAGAGGGAGGTGGGCAGCACACAGATCTCCAACAAAGCAAAATCGGCTTTCTTGGGGCAAGCGCTGCTCCACATCCAAACACGGCTTGTTGCTCCTGGAGGCCCGTGTGGGCTGAGCTGAGTGACCCTGGCAGAGAGACCACATGGTTCTCTTTTCACACCGAGCACCTGGCTTTCCCAGAAGCCTCACCACAGAACGCAGAAAGATAACCCACTTCGGTGACCCGTGTCATCCTTACCCGGGTCAGCCAGCAGCAAAGTGACTGCAGAGAAAACAGAATTTGGAACTTTGCTTTGTTTTGTTTTAACTTAAGGCTTTTCTGGCCCCTCCGTTAGAATATAGATGGTGCTAGAAGGCAAACACCAAGCCATGTGGGCATTTCTATCCCTCAGTTTGAACAAGTTTATAAAACTCATTCTCGAAAGCCTTTTACTAGGGAGGAGGGGGCCGCGAGGGGCACAGCTTCACAGCTCTGAGGGGGGTCAGCCCTCACCCGGCTCTCAGGGAGACATCACTGACCAACGACTCTGGCCAAGTCATGGCTGACCTCGCAACCTTTGCTCCTCGGAAGGGCCATGGCCCTGGCTCTCTGTGAGGCTGCGTTGGGGTCCTCCAGCCCATCTCACACAGCTCCTGTGGAGCACAGCCTCCCGGCCTCAAAGCCCCAGAGGGCCCACTGCCCTGGGCAATGGTACTGACTCCTCTCTCCACTGCTTCATCTTCGGGGTACTAGAACCTTTTAAGAAGGACATACTGACTTCTTTATTCTAAAGAAACGTTTCCCTCGTGGTCCCTTTAATGTACAGTTCTTTACCATGTGTTTCCTCAACAGGTATTCGACATATTAAATGGGAAACCATATGAGCCAGAGTTTACATCTGATGATTTACTGGCACAAGGTGAGTTGTAATGGAACCAGGTCCTCTTAACCAGCGTTATCTCCACACCATCATTGAAAGGGCTCGGGGAAGGGGGTGGCTCCATAGTGTAGTGGTTAGCACGTCTGCTTTACACGCAGAAGGTCCTGGGTTCACACCCCAGGTGGAACCACAGACCATACCCAGGGTGCGCCAGGCCCTGGGTGCACACCGCGAGCGCATGGAAGGAGATGCCCTGTCTTCAGAGATCCAGTTCTTAAGGGGAAACGGACCCATCCATAGGTTCAGGGGTGGAAGTGGGCGAGGGAATTAAAGAGGGGAAAAAAAAAGAAGGGGGTTGGAGGAGAGCCAGCATTACCCAGGGTGTTCTGTGAATGGCACAGTGGTTATTTCAGAATCAGAAGATTCTAGAGTTACGAAAGGGGATGTCCAGGGATGTCCAGTTGTGATCTACTACAGTGCATACTGGTACTCAGCCAGGCTTCTGCCGACTCTCAGCTAAAGGAGTTCAATTGCCTCCAGGAGGCGTTGGAGGCTGCGTAGCGCAGCAACAGTCGGCCCCTCCACAGAGTGCCTCCCCTCAGCTAGAGGAGTCATGTTCCTTCTTCATTTCCTTCAGGAGACATGAAACAGCTGACCGAAGATGCCAAGTTGCAGCTCTACAAGTTGCTAGAATTTCCTGATCCAGACAAAAACTGGGCTACTCTTGCACAGAAATTAGGTCTGGGAATACTCAATAATGCCTTCCGGCTGAGTCCCGCTCCCTCTAAAACTCTCATGGACAACTACGAGGTAACACATCACATAGCATCGCTAACTGTGTTTATTTGACTTTGCTCTGTTAACGTCACTGCTGGCTCTGTTAAGGTCACTGCTGGGCACAGCCTCCTTCCTTCTCCCTTAGCTCTGAGAGGGAAAATTAATCATTGCCTGTGTCCTGGGAGGGCAGCCCAGGTGAGGACAGAAACCCACTTTCCTCAGAAGGCTATTTCCGATACCTTGACATGTTCCCTATTTTCAAATACCTTGAGATTTTCTGGGGGGAAAAAATGCTATTTAGAGGGTCAGGATGGTAACAGAACTTCGATCTTCCTGAACGAACAAAATAGACAACACTCAACGGTCATCTCTTCCTCTTTCCAAGAACACGCCTTGATCACATGTCGGAACATGGAATCAACTTTCTGTGAGGTGACTCCTAATGGAGCCATTGCCTTGTGATGCTTTAATTTCTAAAACTAAAAGAAAAACATGAGGTGAAATTATTTTCTTCTGGACCTTTTATTGATAGCTCGTATTTTTCAATGGCTTTCAGAGCTTCCACTTATACAAGGATACTGCATAAACTTCACTCTAGGTAGAGTTTCACTGCCTAGGCATATCTCTCCCTCTCTCTCGCTCATTCTGTGCTTACTGTAAACTGCTCCTCTGTGATTTCATGAGCGAGTCTTTGAGGTGAAACACAAAACTTGACTCAAAGATTTTGTATTTTCTTAAGACAAACACCTTTGCAGACCACCTGATTCTCACGATGCAGAAAGCACCTTCTGCATGTGCTGGAGCATTTACAGCCTGCCTGGTTGTTCCTGGAACTTGTTTTCACCCAAGAACATACTTTCTTCATTTTTTTCTTGCAGGTCTCTGGGGGCACAATAAGAGAGCTGGTAGAGGCCCTCAGACAGATGGGCTATACCGAAGCCATTGAAGTGATCCAGGCGGCCTTCAGCACCTCAGGAACTGCAGCCCCCAGCCCAGTGAAGACCTCCCAGGTCCACCTGCTGCCTCTCTCGCCTGCCTCCACAAGACAGCAAATAGGTAAAGAAAAAAAGACAGAGAAAGCAGTCGAGGTCTTTTCGGGCTCCCCAGGCCCGTGTGTTTGGTCTCGGGATATGGCATGTCCCCCCCACCACTCTCTCCTGACCATGCTGTCCTGTGTGTCAGTCTCCTCCCCACCGGGGATTCACGAATTCTACCTTCTGCCCCTCCTGACACCTCCATTCACATAAGGGGCTGTCCCCAGGAACAATCACATTGATACCTGAGTTACTTAGATTTACAATAAATACTAAAAAACAACATGATGGTGGGTGGTTAAGGTAAATATTATTTCTCTCATCTTTTAAATTAGAGAGAGAGAGAAAATACACTGGAACCAGCACTGGCACCCAGACTGTAGACAGACACAGGGGTTTCCCACCACACGCCCCCCAGACCCTCAGCCTCCTCCCCATGTTCATAACACGGACCTTGTCCCCAACCATTATTGGTTCCATCTGTCATCCACCTAAAACATGTAACATGCTGGACTCCACACAGCCCAACAACCCTGTACTTCCCTTTAAATTATTCTCCCACCCTCTAAACAACCATTTCATGCTTTCTCTTTCCAACCCCCAACATCCCTTCCCCTGCACTAGTGGTTTCTCCCTCCTACTGGATCACCTAGCAAGCATGCTGTGGTTTCCCTCATCTTTTCAAAGTAAAAAACAAAACAAAACCAAAAAAGCACTCCCTTTATCCCACTTCCCCTTTACCTACAGCCCAATTCCTCTGTTCCCCACACAGCGAAGCTGCTCAGGAGGGTATTTTACAGTTGCTCTTCACCCTCTCCCCGCTCCTTGACTCCTGCAGCCGGGGCCCATCCCCGCCACTCTACCAGCCCTGTGCTTGTCTTGATGCCCAGTATCTGGCCAGATCTGCTCACCATCCTTCTTGTCTTCTCCACCACTGCCAACATGTACCCCAGCTGACCAGTTGCTCCTGCTTCAGACAGTCTCCCCTCTTGGCTTTTCCACAGCACACTCACCTCACTGCCTCCTTCACACTCCCCCTTTTAAGTCACAGCCCTCCAGAGCCCAGTCCTAGGCCCTCTTTGCTCGTCCTTATTACATGGGACTATCAGTACCCCACCTGGACTGAGTACTGGCCACATTGGTTAGAAGCACCGCCATCCTCCAGGAAGTTAAGACAAAAACTTAAGACCCGTGAGTATTTCCTAGTACTAACCACCGCACAGTCAGCCATCAGGTTTCTTCCTAGAAGTTAAGACAAAAACTTAAGACTTTCCCGTGAGTACTTCCTAGTCCTAACCACCGCACAGTCAGCCATCAGGTTTCTTCCTCTCCACGACCGCCACCCTCGCCCAGTCCACCCTCACCGCCTCCGTTCCTGCAGCAGCTCCTCATCAGTCTCCCTGTTCCCTTCAGTCTATTCTCCACACAACAGGTAGTGTGATGCTTTTTAAAAACTAGTGAGATTATGGTACTCCTGCTGTACACCCTCCAGGCCATTTGACCATTCAGCAAATCTTTACTGGCTGTGTCCTGTATGTTGACTGCTGTGTGAGGCTCTGAAGGTGAGGCAGTGAGCAACAAAGGCAATGTCCCTTCTTTATCCGTTGTCCTTGTTAAAAATGGCTTTCATCCACCCCACTGATCCAATCCAGTCTTGGGGCCTTGGAACCTTTTCTTCCTCTTCCCTGAAATATCCTCACCTGGCTGGCTCCTTCTGACCATTCAGTTTTGGCACCAGTGTCACCTTATTGGGGGTACTCTCCCTAGGGCAATCAAGACCCGTGTTGTGTCCACTTAAGAAAGGAATACTGCATCCACCAGGAAAACAACCCACATTTCCTATCTCATAACCTAATGATCCTTCCACACAAATGAGTACTTATATCTTAAAAAGCATTAAGCTCTTGATTTATAGTTATTTTTAAAATACCTCACAGCTCTTAGCACATAATAGGAACCCAATAAAGATTGGTCAATTGAATAAATCAGTCAATAACAAGACAATAGCCATGTTACTGCTATTAAAGTCTTAATTATTTATGGCAATTTAATATATAAGAAGATAGCATTTTGATTCAAGTATATTAGACTTCTCTCCCCTTGGTGAATCTGAAGAATTCACATTGTTCAGATCCCTGAAGACACTTCTCAACAAGCTTTTGACCTAATTGTCCAGTATAGATTCATTTTCATCCAAATCATCTTATTTTTTGCTACCAAAATGTTTTTGAGGCATATATAGTACTTAATAGCATATAAGGCCTGGAAGGACTCCTTCTTTTTAGTTCCTACTTCTGTCACCAATTTATTTTGCATAAGGTTCAGCGATGTCCCCAGCTATAAAATAGGTAATATGGTAGTCAGAAAAATACACCAGATTTCTAAGAAAGAAAGGTGCACTTCAGGCCAAGAGAATTCAGGAAGAATTCTGATAAACATGAGGCTAGATTTTGGCGTCTTCACAGTTTTTATAGAACTGGGTGCTTTCTGTCCCTCACCCCACTCTGAACAGCACAGACAAGTGATAGGGTAGGCGGGGTGTGGTGAGTTTTAAAAGTTAATGGACAAAAGTAGCTCATGTGCATTTTAGATCCAAACTTTGAGCCCAGCTAAAATGAAAGGTGTACGAGAGCAAAGGCGTCACCTTGTTCCCACTGCCCCCAGTGAATTGTGTTTTCTCCCCTCAGATGAGCTCCAGGACGACAGCATCTGTGACAGCGGCGTGGAGACATCCTTCCGCAAACTCAGCTTTACAGAGTCTCTGACCAGCAGCAGCTCATTGCTAACTCTTAACAAAATGCCCCACGATTATGGGCAGGATGGACCTATAGAAGGCAAAATCTAGCCTTCTGGCAATTCCCAACCTGTAAACCAAAGTTCTGAAATTCCGTGGTATTGTCCAAAAGAGGGTAAAGTGCATCCATCCAGTGGTGCTTGGAGGAAAACCTGCCAGCCTGAATCGCTCTTGATTTAACTCAAAGCCTTTGAAACGTGGTTTCCTTTCTTGATTCTTAAATGAATTTCAGTTCGGCTCACTTGCAGATAGTATCTAGCCGTCACAGCCTTCGGCGAGGCTGGTGCTTCGTTGGGGGTGAGATAACTTGTTGAGCTTTACTAGCTGCTTTCTGTTGTCATTGCTGCCATCCCTCTGCTGCTGTCATTAAAAAGTCTCACGGTCCCTGCCTGGTATTCTCTCTGGCCGTCCACAGCACAGTCGTGCATTCAGATTAAGAATTAAGAAAATTCTTAATATTTTATTAAGAATATTTTAAATGAGATATTTTGAAATGCAAGTGAGTTGGTGTATGATAAAAAAAAAGGCTTACTACTTTTTCTAATGTGCTTACCTCTGTGATTTGAAAAAAAGAACATGTATGTGTTAATATTTAAACATGGTTACAATCAGTGCTGAAAATGGTATTTTCCCCTTTTTCTGCATTTCGCTATTGTAAATATGTTTTTTAGATCAAATACTTTAAAGGAAAAAATGGATTTATAAATGCTATTTTTTATTTTACTTTTATAATAAAAGGAAAAGCAAATTGATGACCTTGTCTTGTTTGATCTCCACAAACACTTTCCTAAGATGAGTCCCTGTCATCACGGGGTTATTCCACAGCCACATTGTCCTTTAGAATCAATTTTCTGATCCATAAATAAATAAAAATTACCAAAAGAAAATTGTTTTAATCCGGGATGAAACTTTGGGTTCGTCAGATGCTTGCTTGGCTCATTCCGTTTAGGCTGTATCACCTCGCCTTCCTCCATCTCATGCAAAACTCTCCCTCTACAACCCTCAGTGTGTTGTCAGAGCCTCTGTTGATGCATTAAGTGTTGAAATTTCAGCATACCAGAGGGTTTCGAACAAGAAGCCCTCCAGTATGAAGCTCTGCTGAACTGCTCTTCACTCAGAGTTGGAATAAGGGAGCAGAGGAATGAACCGTTTGAATGAGGTGCCGTGCTGGACACTGTGATGTCAGCCAAGAGCCCTCTTTCACAAAGGACTTGTCAGCCCCGCTGCTGGGAGCACACTCGGCAAAAGGCCTCCAGCTGCAGAGAGCCGCCTCGCCTAGCTCACACCCATTTCCATGATGGCCCCATGCAACACCGATTGACAGACATGGTGTGTAAAAGTCTCCCAACTCAGGGCAACATGGAAGGGCCATTTGACCTCCAGAGCTCCCTCCAGCTTGCCTGAGGTGTGGTTTGGTCTGCATCACAGCTTAACTCTTCCTTCCATCTGCCCAGCACTCTTTTCCCTTCCCTGTCACAGGTGTGGATCCCAGGGCACTCCCAATAAACATCCTGCGCAGGAGTCCCCATCTCAGAGCCGGCTTCCCAGAGAACCCAACCTGCACGGCTGCTAGGAACTAATGCTAACCAATTTTGCACAACATATGAAGCCATTTAATCTTGAAAATAACCCAGTGAGGTTTGTGGAATTATCCCCAATTTACAGAGAAATTGAGGCTTCAAGAGTTCAAGTAGTCAATGGCTCAGCTGCTTCTGAGCTTACACCCAGGTCTGTCTAGCTCCAGAACTCAAGGGTTGGAGAATTATCTTCATAGGATAAGAAGACAGATTTTAAAAATTGAGCCCAAATGTAGACTCCTAAATATATAGGAATTTAGTGTAAGATAAAGTAAATTTTCAAATCAAGGACGAAAAGATGATTAATCAGTAGATGTTTCAACTTGTTAGTCACAGGAAAAAAATTAATTTGAACTCCTACATCCCTCCTTTCATCAAAATAATTTCCAAATGTATCAAAAGTTAAACCATAAAAATGCTAGCAATACTAGAAATTATGGATGAGTAAACTTGAAATACAGAAGGCTTTTCTAAGCAAGACTTCATTATATGGTGAAAATAGTTTGGATTCTTTATTTTACAGTGTATCTCAAATTTTTTTTTAAATTCTACTTCTGTTTTCTATTACACTGCCATTTCTCCACACATCTAGTTTTTGAAAGTTGTATGTTTATAACAAATAGCTCTGACTTTCCTTAATTCTCCGCTAGTGCATGCCCCCATTCCTCCTCCAGTTTCTCTCTGTAGCAGATAGTTATTTTCCATCTGGCCATGACAAGGCCTCCCATCATGCAGTGCACTGCTGGCCTCCCTCCAACTGGAGGGACAGGCATACTTTCCTTCCCTGTGAACCTAAGTGGACCTGTGACAAGAGCAGAAGAGCTGCTAAGTGGCTCCCAAGGTCAGAGAATGCAATACAACTTCTGCCCAGTCCCCCTGGGTCGCTCTCTCTTGGAACCAAGTTACCTGAGGGAGCCAAGTGGCCACATGGAGAAGCCACATGTAGGTGTTTAGTCAACAGCCTTCACTGAGGTCACATCCAGTACCAGCAGATGTGTAAGTGAGATGATTCCAGCCAGCAGCCATTCGATTAGCCTTCAGACTACCCCAGCTGATGCTGCCAGGCCGCTCTGCTGAGCCAATTTGGATTAAATGGCAGATCATGGGTCAATTAAGTAATGGTTGACGTTTTAAGCTCTAGGTGTGGAGTGGGTTATTAAACATTCTCCAGGTCTCTAACCTGACTGTTCCCGTAGCAGAAGGTCACTGTAAAGAGAAGCTGACTGCAGAAGGAACAACCAAGCATCTCATACTGAGACTAAAAATAACATTCCTCTTCTTTAATAAGAAGCCTCATTCCTCCTTCGTTCCAGAAACTACCTTCCTCCTCCCGGATCTCAGTGCTGGCCTGAGCCTCTGCGTGATGCTTTAACGAAAAGGCTACCAAAACCAGCTGTGCCTCTGAGGAAGGAATGTCTTTCATATTGTACCAGCAGATGGGGATAAATACCAGGAGGAATGCAGAAGTTCAGGTGGAAAGCTACAAGGGGCCTGAAGTAAACCTGCCCAGAAAGCTTGTCTCGGGAAGCCATTTAAAAATAGCTACCTCAGAACCTTTGTGTCCTTTTGATGTTTCTCTACTCTGCAGGCGTTACCTAGACTTTTTCGGGATTAGCGGTCTTTCTTTTTTGGCAGAAGGAAGCCCTGCTGCTGCTCATTTACCCACCTGAGTTTCCCCACAGTCGTCATGTGGCATGGATGGTCCCGGCCACCTCCTTGGAACTGGGCCCCACCAACCAGACCTTCTGTATCTTAGCAGGAGAAAGGGAGAGAAGGAGCCGGGCAGATCTGAGCATTTATCACATGCCAGCCCTTTTGCATTCATGATTCCTAATAATATTCTCAAGACATCCCTTATCAGGTACATATTTAACCCCAATTTTACAATGAGGAAACATAATCTGGATACCAACTAACCTCCCCCTCCCAAGATTCAAATCCAGATTTGTCTGATCCCACAGCTTATTCTTTAATGATGTCCGAAATCCTTTGAAGGAAAGATGCAATATTTAAAAGAGAAAAGAATGCATAGAAATCTGTATGAAGATGATGGAGTCATAATGTACCCAACCAAAATACGAAATGAACCCACAGTATCGCTAAAAGAACATATTGCTTAAATATTAACATGACTTGATTTTTTTTTTCACTAATAACAGGCTGAGATGCTTAAATACGAATTTTTCATGGGCCAGAGGTCACTGGTTTGTGCTTCTTATTTTATGCTTTTGAGGGGGAATTTTCTCTCTGATTTGTGCTTCCTTCCCCAGGTAATGGGCTTGTGGAAGCACAGGAGTCAAGAGAAGATGAAACTAAAATTCCGTTTATTTTTTAAGGATCACAGAACTTGGAGCTGGACAATATCTTATCACCTAAGTAAATCGTCCAAGTACCAACTCTTTTTTTAAATTCCCACGATGTGGAAGCATAGTCTCCTTTACTCCACCCTCCAGCCCTGCTGCTTTCTTGTCCACTGGTTTTCCAGATTCATTGGTTGGCTTTGGGGTTAGGGGAGATACTGAGGAGAGGCTTAAAATTAAATGGATGTCATTCTCCATTATTATGGCTTTCATTATTTCTGCAACAGCCTGCTTCCATTACTCTGGACAAGTGACTAGTTCCACAAATTGTTCAAGCTTCTTAGAATGAGAGAGAGAAAGGGGCTGAGAAAGCATCTTCTCACTCCCATCAACTAGATTTTCCATGTGGAGATCTCATTCCAAAATGATTATTTCACTGAAATATCACAGCAACCCTCAACCAACGAAAATATGTATTCGATCAAGATTTCTTGCGTGTCTATCACATGCCAGGCACTATAATGAGCGGTCATCATCCATTATTTTATTTTACTTGTTCGAAAACCCTGTGAAGTGAGAATTTCATCCCTATTTCACAGATGAGGAAACTGAAGTACACATAAAGCATTTAACCTGCAGGATCTCCTGACTCCGGTAACATGTTTCAATAAACCATACTTGCGGCAGGGGACAGGGTGGGTAGGATGTCTCTCTTCCACTTTGTCACGAAGGGATCCAGGCTGACAATCACTCTTCCTCCAACGTTTGGCTCCCAAGGTCTTGCTGGGGTGCCGATCCCAGTCAGCTGGAAAGGCAGAAGAGCACAGAGGAGAGTACACATATCAGCTGTGAATTGGTTACTTCCTCTCACATTGCACTGGAGGAAAACTTTAGTCCCACGGCCACACTAAGAGCAGGGAAGCTATAGGGGCGGTCCACTTTTGTTCTCAATATTAGGAAGGGGGTTAATTTTGGTGAACAGGTTTCAATCTCTGGCACCAATCAAAATTTCTTACCTGGCTGTTGGAGGCTGAATCTGAAGGTTCTTTCTAGTTCCAACTTGTACACAAACACTCACTTACTCTGAAAGTCACCTGAAATCGTGGAAATGGTCATTGCCCAAAGTAAAATTATTTCCCAGGATTAAGAATGAAAGATGCATTGTAAGGATAAAGTCACAGCTTCTCTTAAGGAAATCTTCGGAGCAGAGATGGGTATTAGGTCAGGGAAGATGGGGGAGACTTAGAGCAGCAAAGCCTTGTTGCCCTTGCGCTAACTCAAGGAGAACTCTGGCTCTCTAGCCTCCGGGAGACCTTGGGTTTGTCAGTGTCAAGGTTAAGGTCTGCAAAGAAGGGCTTTGGCCCTTGGGATCCCGCCCAAAGGACAAGAGCAAGCAAGTTCATCTTTCTGGTAAGCTGCAGAGAACTGATAGGACCATGAGTCTCAATTCTCAGGTGAATGGGAAAGAGGAAGAAGTTGGTTCTGGGAGAAATAATATTCTTTCCAGACCAGAAGAATAGCAGATGAAACAGAATTCTAGAAACTCTTTCTCCCAGGATTCCTTCTTGAAACCCAGAGTTGGTGCTGAAGATGATGAGATGAAACCTGGAGGCAAACGATGGATGGGAGTGTGTCAGCTCAGGGACTGTTATGAGTTGGTGCTGGATACAGACGACCAGGTTGCTAAGTCTATTCTCTGGCAAAAAGAGATTTTTTTTTTTTTTTTCATTTTAAAACTATTTTGTGGTTCTCCCTCCCTTGAAATTTTTAAATAAGAAACTTCATGCCATGATTTTTCTTTTGCAGAACACCTATTCATCACTTTGTTAAATGTAAA